TGATATTGAAGGTTCCCATAAAGTTTTGTTGAATTCCAGCCAGTAGTTGCACACTCACTGAAGTAGCGCGGAAACGATTTTTACTAATCAAGGGCCATAACTCTGAGTTAAAGGGTCTGACCGGAACAAGCCGACGATATGCGCATCTCCTCTTGATATTGATGATTCCCATAAAGTTTCGTTGAATTCCAGTCAGTAGTTGCAGAGAACTACTCCGGAAACGAAATTCGGACGGACGGATGGACGGACGAACAACGCCAAAACTATATCCCCCTCCCGATTCCATCGGCGGGGGATAATAATCTTCTTTGAAGCAAGAAATTTTACATTTTGATATAATTTTATAGTCAAGTTTTTTGATAAACTAGTCATGAATGCTAATAACGAACGATTATCCCCTAACACCATTGCAATGGTGACACTAATCCTTTGATTGGTATATCTACGTGCCCCTTCCAACAAACAATTATCGGCAATAATTTTGATCAATTAAAAAATATATTGTTTACCCCCTGTGGCTTTTTGAGCGAAGGTGTCATACACTGTAATCAACAACTGGCCAGTATAAATTTAATCCACCTGGAGGCAGTGATTAGTGGTCAAACACCGTGAAAATTACCGCTAAATATGAGGTGATGAAATCTAGAAATCTACAAGATTCAGCGAATGTTTCAGGTAAACGACAGGGCTAATTGTCATTACTTAACATAGCTTTATACTATTCTGTGACTGATTGAATTAACGATGCGTAAATACTTAAAAAAGATAGAAAAACTGTTAATAATTATTGACAGTCTGTCTTTTGTTTATGGTGTCATTAAATTTGCAAGTTGTAAATACCGGTAATATAGGTTGTATGCCACTATGTAAATTTTAAAAAATACATTTGCTGACCAATGCCCCACCTTCAAATGAAAAGTGTCCAGGAAATGAGTCTAAAAATTATGGCATGTATGACTTAAGTTATGCTTCAGAAACCAAATTGCTAACAGATGGATGGATGGATGGATGGACGGACGGACAGACGGACGCCAGGGGGTATAACATAATATGCCCTTTCGGGCATATAAAAATAAATGTCTGCCTTTACAGAGCATGTTTTGTATTGTTTCAAATTGAATCAATATTTTATTTGAAAAAAACAAGATTGCATTTGAGAAAAATGCTATGCCACCGCATTATAAGCTTTATGCCTTGTACCTTCAGACGAAAATATTTTTTATCTTTTACTATATGTACATAATGAACATCAATGACCCCCAGGCAATAATTTGAACAATCTTGGTAAAGGTTCACTTTGCAAAGTCTCATGCCATATATTTAACCTCTAGTCTTTGTCAATTCAGAGAAGAAGATTTTTCAATTCAGAGAAGAAGATTTTCAAGTTTTTACTTTATCTTATAAGGAAAACTATCGCTTCTGGGGCAGGGTAATTTTAACACTAGGGGCATAATTAAAACAACTTTAGTAGAGGACTCATAGATGATATTATATACCAAATATCAAAGCTCTAAGCCTTGTACCTTCAGACAAGAAGATTTTTTATTTTTTTACTATATGTACATAGTGAAAATCAATGATCCCTGGGGGTGGGGCCAATTTTGACCCCAGGGCTATAATTTGTACAATCTTACTAGAGGTTCACTACATAATGTTTCTTGCAAAATATCTTAACTTTAGCCTTTGTAAATTTAGAGAAGATTATTTTGTAAGTTTTTACTATATACATATAAGGAAAACATATTGCCCCCGGGGCGGGTCTAATTTTGACACTAGAGGCAAAATTTGAACAACTTTGGTAGAGTACCTATAGATGATATTATTTAACAAATATCAAAGCTCTTAGCCTTGTACCTTCAGACAATAAGATTTTTGACTTTTTACTATATGTATATATTGAAAATCAATGACCCCCAGGACGGGGGCAATTTTGATCCCAGGGCTATAATTTGAACAATCTTTCTAGAAGTTCACTTCACAATGTTTCATGCAAAACATCTAACCTCTAGCATTTTTCAATTGCTTGAAGAAATTTTTTTAAAGTTTTTACTATAAGTTTTTACTATATACATTTAAGGAAAACCAATGAACCCCGGGGCGGGGCCGATTTTGACCCCCAGGGCTATAATTTGAACAATCTTGGTAGAGGTCTACCAGACAATGCCTTATGCAAAATATCTAAGCTCTTGGCCTTTTGGGTCTTTACAAGAAGGTATTTTAAGTTTTTACTATGTGAACATATAGTGAAAATCAATGACCCCCGGGGTGGGGCCGATTTTGACCCCCAGGGCTATAATTTGAACAATCTTGGTAAGGGTCTACCAGACAATGCCTTATGCAAAATATCTAAGCTCTAGGCCTTTTGGGTCTTTACAGGAAGGTATTTTAGGTTTTTACTACATGTACATATAGTGAAAATCAATGACCCCCCAGGGCGGGGCCGATTTTGACCCCCAGGGCTATAATTTGAACAGTCTGGTAGAGGTCTACCAGACAATGCCTTATGCAAAATATCTTAGCTCTAGGCCTTTTGGGTCTTTACAAGAAGGTATTTTAGGTTTTTTCTACATGTACATATAGTGAAAATCAATGACCCCCGGGGTGTGGCCGATTTTGACCCCAGGGCTATAATTTGAACAATTTTGGTAGAGGTCTACCAGACAATGCGTTATGCAAAATATCTAAGCTCTAGGCCTTTTGGGTCTTTACAAGAAGATTTTTTTAATTTATTCTTATAATTTCTTTTGGTTGCCATGGCAACCAGATTTCTGCATGGAATGTAATTCTTTGAACAACTTTGGAAGCCCTTCACCCAAGGATCAATCCTGCTAAGTTTGGTTGAAATTGGACTAGTGGTTTTTCACAAGAAGATTTTTTAAGTTCACTATATAATCTATATAACACACACACACACACACACACACACAAACAAACACACACACAGGTGAATCGCTATATGCCACCACATTGCAGATGCTGCGGTGGCATAAAAATCTAAACAAGAGGGCCATGATGACCCTGAAATTACTCACCTGTATATAGGCCCCCGAGGCGGACAAGGCGCCGACAATATGCTCCCCCGAAATTTTTCAGGGAGCATAAAAAGGCCATGATGGGTCTGAAATCGCTCACCTGTATATAGGCCCCCAGGGCGGAGCCAATTTTAACCCAGGGACTTTTATTTGAACAAACTTGGTAGACATCCATTTGAAGCTGTTTCATGATAAATATCTAAGCTCTAGCTGCAAGAAGATTTTTTTAAGCTTTTACTATATCTGGGTGGGGCCAATTTTGTCCCCAGGGCTTTTATTTGAACAAACTTGGTAGTCACTCACTAGAAGATAGTTCATGCTTAATATCTAAACTCTAGCTCTTTGATTTTTTTAAAAGAAGATTTGTAAGTTTTTACAATATACATATAAGGAAAATCAATGATCCCCGGGGCGGGACCAATTTTAACCCCAGGGCCCTTATTTGAATAAAAATGGTAGACACCCCTTAGAAGATGTTTCATGCTAAATATCTTAGCTCTAGCTCTTGGGGTTTTTTAAAAGAAGATATTTTAAGTTTTTACTATATACATAAAGGAAAATCAATGATCCATGGGGCGGGGCCAATTTTGACCCCTGGGCCCTTATTTGAAGAAACTTGGTAGACACCTACTAGAAGATGTTTCATGCTAAATATCTTAGCTCTAGCTATTTGGGCTTTTTAAAAGAATGTTCTTTAATTTTTTTATATACAAATAAGGAAAATTAATGACCCCCCGGGGCAAGGCCAATTTTGACACCAGGGCATTTATTTAAACAAACTCTGTAGACACTGACTAGATGATGTTTCATGCCAAATATTTAAGCTCTAGCTCTTTTGGTTTTCTAAAAGAAGATATTTTAAGTTTTTTCTTTTGGTTGCCATGGCAACTAGAGTTCTGCTTAGAATTAAATTCTTTGAACAACTTTTTAAGTTTACTACCAAAGGAACATTCCTGTGAAGTTTGGATGAAATTGGCTTAGCGGTTTATGAGGAGATGTCATTTAAAGTTACTGTTTACAGACAGACGATGGAAGGATGCCGGATGAAAAGCGATCACAAAAACTCACCATGTCACTTTGTGACAGGTGAGCTAAAAAAAGAAAGAAAACATACAAACAAAAACAATCAGTTTAATTTGTTTTTTATAAAAAAAAATGCAAATGCTTTATATACAGATTTTACCACTTAAGTTTTTCAGAATTTGCAGTTTTATTAGTATTGAAGTTAATAACCACAAAGAAAACTTAACCAAAACAGTTAACCAAAGAAGTCAGTCATGACAGTAGCTCTTTGTCTTTGGAAATATACATGATATTTAATTATAGAGAAAATCAGTAACTTTTAATTTTTGGCGACATCAAATACAAGAAAAGTCAAACAAGTACACACCTGGAAATAAGTTAAGCACACCCACATTTTGCCTTAACTTTGACATGACCACAACTGAAATTTTAAATTCTATTTCAGCAATGGTACGAACCACCTGTAGTCAACCTGCAACAACTGGAACAAGCTCTGCACAAAATATAACAAAACTTTCCTCAAAATTGCATTAGATGCCTTACTGGTAGTATGAGGAGAACAGTTACCACTTGCCTGTTACATAATTATGTTATCAAAAATTTGTCTACATAAAGTCATTTTAGGTTACATTATCATAAACATTTACCAAAAATATCCACCTGTAAATGTTTTGTAAACGCTCCAAAACCATATTTATAAACACTTATATTTTTGGTTAAAAACAACACATTTGCTTGGAGTTCAATGGTTTATGATTATTAAATTTGTATAGCTACTTTAATTAAGTCGTCATCTCATGACAGGGCTTTCAATCACAAAATTTTAAATTTCCAGGGTGTGCTTAATTTACTTCCAGGTGTATATTTTAGACACATGGACAATGTTTAAAAACTTATTAAAGATACAACTTTATGAAATATCTTATGTATTTACTAAGAAATAACCTGGATCAAAGGGTGATGTTTTAGCAACATACAGGTATCCACCAAATGTTGGCATTGTTCCTATTTCACACTTTAACTTCAAATCCCACAAAATCATCTGAAATATTCAAACAATTCAAAATAGAATTTTACATTTAACAAGAGGGCCAAGATGGCCCTATATCTCTCACCTGACCCATAGAACTCATCCAAGCAATTACTAAGACAAGCATCATGACAAAGTTTGATGACAATTGAGTCAAAAATGTGACCACTAGAGTGTTAAACAAGGTTTTTCAATATTTGAGCAGTGTGACCTAGTTTTTGACCACATGTGACCCATATTCAAACTTCACCTAGAAATCATCAAAACGAACTTTCAGACCAATGGATCAAAACAGTAGCAACTAGAGTGTGAACAAGATTTTTCTATTTTTAGCTCCTGTAACCTAGTTTTTCACCCAAGATGACCAATGTTTGAACTCATCCGAGCAATTACCTAGACAAGCATCCTGACAGTTTGATGATGATTAAGTAAACAAGAGCCACCGCCGGGCGGGGGCAACGCTCGACTTTTTACTTTCTCTAAAAGCAAACAAAGAAATGTTTGAACAAAATCTTAACGTTTCCTTTTTATAAAATTAATCAGTCTGTCTTGTCACATAAGTTTTGTCTATATATTTTGTATATATAAATATACTAAATTATATATATAAATAGAAACACGCAATTCTATAAATAGAAAATTCTATAAATAGAAACATGCAATTCTATAAATAGGAACACACAATTCTATAAATAGAAAAATTCTATAAATAGATACACGTGGTAGAGTCACATGGTGGAGTCACATGGTGGAGAAACGTGGTGGAGTCACGTGGTGGATTCACGTGGTGGAGTCATGTGGTGGAGTCACATGGTGAAGTCAGAACAAGGTCTTGTCCTAAAGTATGTTCTGTTATAATATGAAGTTGATCCCTTCAATAATAGCAAAGTTACAGCCAGTTACAGCAAAAACAATGAAAATTTCAATAATTTGAACTTCAAAGTCAAGGTCTTAATGAGTGAAGGTCAAGGTCTGTCTGGTTATTTTTAAGGGATATCCTTGAAGATTATAATGTTCAAGTTTGAAGACAATCCATTCAAAATTAACAAAGTTACAGCCAATAAAAGCCAAAAAAATGAAAGTTTCAATAATTTGACCTTCAAAGTCAAGGTCATTTATTAGTGAAGGTCAAGGTCTGTCTGGTTATTTTTAAGGGATACCCTTGAAGATTATTATGTTTAAGTTTGAAGACAATCCATTCAAAAATAACAAAATTACAGCCAATAACAGCATGAACAAGCAAAATTTGGACTTTTAACCTTGAAGGTCAAGGTCATTTATGGATGAAGGTCAAGGTTAGTGTGGTCTACTGAAAGGTCTTGTCCCAAGGGTTGTTGTGGCCAAGTATGAAGACAATACACCAAAAAATAAAAAGGTTATGATCCAGGTACAAGTTTGCGGACGGCAACGTCGCCGCGACTAAAATAATACCTCTACTTTTTTTTTCAAAAAAAAAAAAGTCGAGCTAAAAATGTCACCACTAGAGGGTTAATAGAGTTTTTTCATAATTGGGCAGTGTGACCTAGTTTTTGACCCCAGGTGACCCATATTCACACTTGAAGTAGAAATCTAGAAATCATCAAAACAAACTTTCAGACCAATTTCCCGGATATTTGGATCAAAAAAGTAGTCACTAGAGTGTTAACAAGATTTTTCTATTTTTTCCTCCTGTGACCTAGTTTTTTATCCAAGATGACCCATGTTCAAACTCATCCGAGCAATTACCTAGACAAGCATCCTGACAAAGTTTGATAACGATTGTGGCAAAAATGTGACCGCTAGAGTGTTAAGGAACAAATGTGGACGGACGACGGAAGGCGGACATTCAACGATCCTTCAAGCTCATCCTGAGCAAGCTCAGGTAAGATAAAAATCAGTAAAAAACAAGCAAAATTAAGAAATTTAACCTTGAAGGTCAAGGTCATTTATTGATGAAGGTCAAGCTTAGTGTGGTCTATTAAAAGGTATTGTCCCAAGGGTTGTTGTGGCCAAGTATGAAGATAATACACCAAGAACTTAAAAAGTTATGATCAACATACAAGTTTGCGGACGGCAACGTCAACTGCAACGGCAATGCTGACATGACTTTAACAATACCTCTACTTTTTTTTTTCTTCAAAAAATGAAATGTCATGAGGGCCAAATGTATCAAAATATGTGAGTTAATCTATTAAATTGTCCACAGAATTGAAATAAATTGATTAACACCTCTGAGCTTCAATAAGTCCTACTCTACCTAGGTCCGACTTTTTCCTTATCAATCTGTTACTAACAAGAGCGATCAGTAATCACATGTGTCGCCTCATGATGGCCAATTTCATGTTGGGACAAATTTTGTGACAGACGGACAGACAGACGGACAGTGCACAACTAGACTTGGTACTGATCATTCCTGTAAAGTTTGGATAAAATTGCACCAGTAGTTTATGAGGAGTAGTCCGGACAAGCTTTTGCGTATCTGGCAACAAACAGAAAAAAACACCTTTTTATCAAAGGGCCATAACTCGGCCAAAAATCATTCAACCAGAAAACCCGTGCAATTTTCGCAAGGACTTGAGCTACAGATCAATCCTGCAAAGTTTCATTGAAATTGCATTAGTGGTATAAGAGAAGAAGTCCGGACAAACTTTAAAAATAAAAATTATTAAAGGGCCATAACTCTGACAAAAATCATTGAACCGGAAAATGCTGACAATATGCACAACTAGACTTGGTACTGATCATTCCTGTAAAGTTTGGATGAAATTGCACCAGTAGTTTATGAGGAGTAGTCCGGACAAGCTTTTGTGACGGACGGACAGACAGACGGACGGACAGATGGACAGACAGACGACGGAGAAGTGATCCCTATATGTCGCCACTACTCCGTAGAGGCGACACAAAAATAGCACACTTTTAAATTTCAAGAAATTCTTCGTAAAATGGGATATTATGACACTTTGCCTGGAAAACATCCATGTTTTCTGTTATGATAACGATGATTCTTGATGACTGGTCTCATTTTAATGTATTTTAATTGAATATTTGGCCAACTGTAGAGAAATTTTGGCAAATGGTAAAACGCTTTTTGTCAACCATTGAGTTATGGACTGAATTCCTTATAAACACTAATATTATGACATTTTCCACTTTTAATATTGAAGTATTTTATCATGAAAACCTTGATTTTTGATGACAAATCTCATCTGAATTTATTTTCGTTGAATATTTCGACACATAAACTGGATCAGCAGATTTTTTTTGCAGGCAGTAAAATGCTTTTTGTCAACCATAGAAAGTCAGGGGCCTAAGCCCTGCCCCACCTTTCAAACTAGGTTGTAATGTGCTTTCACTGATATTCATATTTTGTTTCTTGTGTGTCCTGGTGAGTGAGAAAAATAATCAACCATTGGTTTAGACAGAGAATAGGAAAATCCCAACCCTCGGGCAATAGGTTCCAGCAGGAACTCACCAAGGCTCGTTCTCGATTGAACCAATCTCCCTTAGGTTGGGATTTTCCTACCCTCTGTCTAACCAAATGATAGATTCTATATTCTTTTTTTTTTTAGCCAACAGTTATCTTGACCCAAGGGGGTCCAAAAGCAATCAGGGCTTGACAAATCCACTCGTCCGCTTTTAAATACGAGTTAAAATTGACTCTGAACGAGTAAATCTCCCGGAAATGCTCGTCCTGTAGGACGAGTGAAATTTCTAGCAGAAAATAATCAAATTTCAATTAAATTCAATTCTTTTGAAACCATTTTTTCAAGTTTCAATAGTAAAACAGAGCAGGAAATAATTCAAATGTGTTTGATGGGCAAAAGGCATGTTGATTTGTTGAATGCAACGCTATATTCTGTTTGATTCCGTTTTGTTGAATATACTAAAAGCTGGTGCGCCCGCAGGGATTCCGGTATGTTCCGGTATGTTCCTCAAACAACGATCTTTAGATAATACAAAAATTTGTTCACAATATTTTAAAATGTCACAGTGCGATATTCGGCAAATGTTTAGCCAGGGAGGAGAAAGTTAAAGTAAGAACATGTAAGAAATCTATATTGTTTTTCGTTTTTCAATCCCTAATAAGGACATTATTGAAAGGTAGGTTTTTTTCATTTGAATTATTTATCTGTTTACCAGAATGGAAAGTTCATATGTAGTTATAAATGTGATCTTCTCCCTTTTCTATCCATTCTGTACAGTCTTGTTCAATCTATCATTTGGTCTTTGGAGTGGGTTGGGGTGCAATATAAAACTGCCTAGGCTAGGGAGGGCTATCATCGTTTTTTTTTAACTAGTGCGCTTTAAGGGTCATCTACCTTGTGGCCTTTAGTGAACTATAGGACGAGTACATATTGCAGCAGGACGAGTAACAAGAGCTGTCGGTAGGACAGCATGCTCGACTATTCTTAGTGCTTGATAGTAAAAAAAATGCCTGATACAGTTACCTCCTCCTGTTTACAGGTTGGGGTCATGATGGTGAACAAGTGTGCAAAGTTTCAAAGCCATATGTCAATGGACTTTGAAAATATTTGAACTATTACAAAAACTTTAACGTAAATTCTAAGTCGAAAAAGGGGCATAATTCTGTCAAAATGCTTGATAGAGTTACCTCCTCCTGTTTACAGGTTGGGGTCATGATGTTGAACAAGTGTGCAAAGTTTCAAAAGCCATATGTCAATGGACTTTGAAAATATTTGAACTATTACAAAAACTTTAACGTAAATTCTAAGTCGAAAAAGGGGCATAATTCTGTCAAAATGCTTAATAGAGTTACCTCCTGCTGTCTACAGGTTGGGGTCATGATGGTGAACAAGTGTGCAAAGTTTCAAAGCCATATGTCTATGGACTTTGAAAATATTTGAACTATTACAAAAACTTTTAACGTAAATTCTAAGTCGAAAAAGGGGCATAATTCTGTCAAAATGCTTGATAGAGTTACCTCCTCCTGTCTACAGGTTGGGGTCATGATGGTGAACAAGTGTGCAAAGTTTCAAAGCCATATGTCAATGGACTTTGAAAATATTTGAACT